CCCACCAATCTATCTGGCTCCCCTTGTTCACTCCTCTCTTTGCTCGTCGTCCCACCGTGAAGCGTCTGACCCCTCCCCTGTGGAACAGGAGTTCACCGAGACCGCTTGGGCGGGGACACGACTGACTTTTCAATATGCAAGCGAAAATAAAAACGCGATATTACACTGCAGAATTGTTCTTTAAATGTAAACGCACTTAAACGCAGTTATTCGTCGTCGTGTGAATTAGGCTATCAGACACCGCTGCGCTGTATGTCACGAATATGTCACGAAACAAGGACTTTTCGCTGCACCTGTGAACCTGCGATATCACGGATTGATACAATGTCAACCACAACGGAATCGTTTATGGGAAACAAATCGGAATATACACGGCAAATAAATATAGATCATAAAATAAACAACAAAGATATAAATAACATTGTACACTACACTTTTCACACAATTTAACATGTATTGTTTATTAAATCCTTCCTTTGTTTATTAATTAATTTATAATACAGCAATCTATCACAGTTAGCCTACTTCAGTTTTTTATTCATGTATCATTTTCCGATTTTGCATATAGCCTACAGTTACTCATTTCTGTATTTGTTTTATTTCGTCATTTATTTAGTTTTTTGTTTATTTCTTTATCCTGTATGATTACATGAAAATCTAATAATACTTGAAGCACCATTTAAGGTTTCTCAGGTTACAGTTCTCCAAAGGGTCCAACCAGTGTAAATCAAGTATCTTTTCATTTATTATACCCTGCACATGCAATGGAAAATTACTGTCAAAATTAGAGGGAAGACAATGGCTTAACTATTTAGCCTGATTTTAGATTTTGAATTTCATTATTCTTTTAAGTAAAGCCATCACATGACTATGAGGAATATGAAATAAGAAGTTGGTTAATTTGCAATTTTACTTTTAGTGGAAATTATTATTATTATAATATATTTTTTGTGCTATGCGAATCTTGATGGACTTGTCACCACTACACAGAACTGACATTGCATTCAAAACATATGAATTATTAATGCCTTGGTCCATCTAAGACCAACTCAGTTTGCACGTCTTTTGCTCAGAAGACTTCCTGAGGTTACCAGATGGATATGTCACTTGAAGGTTTGGGAAACAGGCCATTTTATAATTACAAGAAGAACTAACCTTAAACAGTGATATTGGGTGTTTGCTTTCAAACAAGCTTTTTAAAGGCTGATGAAAGGTTATCTGTAATTTTTTGCCCTGTCAGACAGAACAATTAAAGCAAAATAAATAGATAATTCTGACAATATCACACAGTTAATTAAAGGGCAATAAAAAGTGTGGTTATAGACATAGGCCTACAATTTATAGACGCACTATTGATGTCAATCTTAGTAATATAAATTTGAATTCAAAAGTTCAAATGTTATCTATTACTTCCACAACAGTCAACTCATTTCCTATATTTATCAGTTAGCTCGAATCAGACTCATGATCTGTCACTGGTGGGTCAATGAAGCATCAGTCATATCTAGTCAAAGTCATCTGAACCTTTCAGTTCATCGTGGGATATTACAGTAACAGTGAGTTCCCCACCAAGGGAATCAAGCTCCGCTGATGTTAAAACTCAGTTCAGTTGATGTTGAAACTAACCTCAACACAACCAGATAGGGTGGGAGTTTGTGGATCCAAGCGCTCAGTAGTTGAGTCAGAGTCGCCCTACTAGTGGCAAATACAGGAGCCCACAGTAGCTCCTGATAGGTTCATAGGTCACTCCCTTGACCCTAGGGCACACAAAAATGTTCAGCAGCCAGAAAATAGAGAATTCCACGTTTGTCCATGTGATGTTGCACATTGGTGTCAGGTCACATGGTGTATTGTTATAACCACCAGGCAGTTTATTGCCAGAACTAGTCCCAGCAGGTTAGGGACCAGTTTAAATGTGAATCAGCAGAGGCTTAGGATCAATACTCCATTTCTGCTTAATTGCTATCTTTTGGTATTTTTGTTTCCTTTTAGTTTGCCTTATTATGCATCCGAAGGTATTTTTTAATTGTTTATGTAGGAAATGTATTGTTTTACAATATTTCTGGCTACTGTCTTTGTGATCAAATAAATGCAACCTTGGTGAGCATAAAATCTTACCAAATTCAAAGTTTTGAATAGTAGTGTATGCCCACTCGGCTCTATTGTTTATTCTGTGCCTGTTTAACAGTTCCTGATGTTCTCTCCGAATGCCACAATTAAATCTCAGATAAGGTCAGGTTGGAATCCATGACCATTTCAAGGACCGACAAGACAAATAAGCAAGGACCGGAAAAAAACAATATGAGACATTCATAGGACCTTATGCTGGTTTGGAGCTCTCACAGTTTCTTTTAACATTAAGTGAAGAATCTTCAACAAAAATATGTAACTAGTCATAAATTCAAGATGTGGCATATTTCACATATAATGCAGCGTTTCCTCGAAAAGGTACCTGAGATATATCCTCATCAAATAGCAGGCCACCAATGAGGAGCTAGAAACAAATCCACTATTAAGGCATTTTACATTGTCACTTCTAATAACGCTTTTTTCAGTAAAATGTCTATTTCCTGTTGTACTCTGGAATGAGAACTGGGATGATGGATTTGTTTCTTAAAAACACAAAGCCTTTCACTTCACAAGACGTTAAATGATGGACTGGAACCATATGAATTACTTGTGGATTATTGTGATGTTTTTATCAGCTGTTTAAACTCTCATTCTGACGGCACCCATTCACTGCAGAGGATCCATATTTCTCCAAATTTGTTCAGATGATGAAACAAATTCATCTATCTTGGATGGCCTGAGGGCGAGTACACTTTCAGCAAATAGTTGCCAAAAAGCAAGACAGATCTGATTAAAAGTGTTTCATTGAACTGATGAGAAGAGAATGCAGGGAGGTTAAGATCAGTTGCAGAATGTTTATATTTGCAGAATTTGGCAGTGTATGAAATAATTGATTAAACTGCATGGGGCACAACAGATGACTGGTGATGTTGAGCAGAGCAAGCGAGTCGTGAGAGGGCTGGTTAGGGTTCTCATGGCTCCATCTAATGTTCACCAGTGGAAACTACAGTGGGGCCCTCTCAGTACTTACAGGAATATTTTGCCCAAAAATTAAAATTTGCTGAAAATATACTCACCCTTAGGCAATCCAAGATACAGATTATTTTTTTTCTTCTTCAATATTTGGAGGAATTTAGCATTTCATCAAATGGATCCTCTGCAGTGAATGGGTGCTGTCAGAATAAGAGTTTAAACAGTTGAAAACATCACAATAATCCACAAGTATAGATCTGTTTTGGACTGTTTTTGCTTGTAAACAGTGCTTGATCAGTGCATATTTCGCTCCTGATTCAGATGAGACAACTTTTTCATTGGTGAATGGATTATGGATAGAGGAGTCATATCGTATGGCCATATTTTGACAGATTTGTTTATTACAAACACAGCTTTTCACTTCATAATATGTTAATTGAAGGACTGCAGTAGTGTGGATTATTTGTGGATTATTGTGATGTTTTTATCAGCTGCTTGGACTCTCATTTTGATGGCACCGACAACCTTTTACACATATAATAAGTGTATTTTTATGTCCTGTAGCACCTGCATCACACAAAGACATAGAGCGGATAATACGCAGAGCGTCACACCACGTGAAAGTGAATCCTGAGCGGTGAACTAATTTTCGGCAGTCGAAATTTCGGTGCATCTCTAATTATTGGCAACATCAGAAATGGATACTATATAATAGATGCTTTTTTGAACATTTTAGCAATTTAAAAATATTAAAAAATGATTTTTTACACGGCACCCCTGCTCTCGACAGACGCGGCACCCTGGTTGGGAAAACACTGGGCTAGCCTACTAGCGCTGTTCAAGAGTACAAGCTCTCATGATCAAACACACAAAGCTTTAATGTCTACCCACAAGAGGGAGCCAGATGGCCACAGGATTTAATTATCTGTTCAACCAGGCAGGACAGACGTAGGGTCAGGAACTGCAAGTCCAATACATGTTTAACCTTACATGGTTGCTTCCTTCGCGTTCTCATGCTCTGCATCTCTTTAAAGGGGTCATATGATGCTGCTAAAAAGAACATTATTTTGTGTATTTGGTGTAATGAAATGTGTTTATGCGGTTTAAAGTTAAAAAAACACATTATTTTCCACATACTGTACATTATTGTTTCTCCTCTATGCCCCGTTTTAGGTAGGTGTGGCTAACTCTTAACTTTTATAAAGAATATCTCTTTGGATTTGAGACTTTAGTCTTTGCAACTTTACAGATCTTCTTTATGCACCAAGAGCTTGTAACACTCCAAAGAGAAAGGAAACAATGAAATCGCATCATATGACCCCTTTAAGTCTTCCATCAGCGCAGCGGTTACCAAAATGTTCTTGCAATAAACATTAAATAAACATTTTAGAAATATAAAATAAATGTATATACAATAAACACGAATAAACAAAATATACAAACAGACAAAATATAATAGGTATAATATTAGCTAAATATAGCTTAAAACAAGATGTCACTCACTTTTTTCTTGCAATAACACGGAACAGGATTGCAGTGTTGAGTTTAATGAATGCAGTCAGTACTACAATTTAGGTAAAAAGTGCCATTGGAAATACTGTAAAATAAATAATGGAAACAGGTGTTTTATTACAATTTTGAATGTCTTTTTGTCAAAGGTAGCCTATAACATTGCTTCATCTAATCTATAGATTGACAAAAAAGTACTAGATAGATAGATAGATAGTTTTTGGTCAATCTACAATCTAGTGGGCTTTATTTAAATATATATATATTTAAATATATTTAAATAATTATTTTAAAATAACTGGTGTTGGCTGTTGCCAATAAATCTGTAATATTAGTACGAACTAAACGTGTTCTCGTTCACTTGTTATTACCTTTGGGTAATTGCCAGGCTCATGAACGCGCATACACGTGCACAGGTTTAGTACAGTTGTTCAGCACGAGACGGGAATTCACAGCGCTCCAGCGATTCCGTCATTCACATCGATGTGACAGAAGACCGTTGTGAGTACTATGTCTATATGCAAATACAGTCAGTTTGTATGGAGAAACCATTTAAATTTAGATTGCCTGACTGATGCCCATAAACATACTATTGCTCAAGCTTGGAATGGAAATGCAGTCAAATCCATTTGCTTTTGATGGTTTTAATTGAATTCGATTTTTACGCTCTTTTATCATTATATTATCGTTATATCTTTTACTTTAAAAACGGAGGACGAGGAAAACTGTTGTTTTTGTTAGAGAGATTAGAGCTCGCAGATGTGGTAATCTGGATTAGTCAACTGTCCACATAGAGCGCGCGCGTGTGTGCCATCAGTGATCATCAACTTCAGTTTTAACCCTCTGTCACATTTCAAGAAGCCTAGACACTGATGCAGCATGTCTTAACTGCTAAATCACAATTATGTAAGGGATACTGAACAGCCAGCCGCTCATTATCACAAGAAAAACCTCTTCATCCGGGTTATCCAATAACCCCGCTAACCCTTTCAGAGTTTATTTTGTGTTATCTGGATGTACATTTTTCCTATCTGGATGTACATTTTTCCTGCTTGCCAAATAAACATGGTAATAAAATATTGATTTGAGTTAAAATTACGTATTTCTTTTCTCGTACATTATCTATTACATTATTAATTAATAATAATGGCACTTTTACACTAATAATAATAATAACAATGTATTGTTCTTCGCTTCCGCCTCGTTTTTCGTTTTCTTGTTTTGATTGGGAATTCTCATGCCTCTAGCCATCTATCAATATTTTATTCTAGTCATATATGTACATTGTCCTTCGAGCTATTTTTATTATTACTGTCAGTATACCCCGTGATCCCAAGATAGCGCTAGTTAGCGACTGTAATTTGCGATGCAAGATAAATATCCAGTTTAGGGGTGATTATACAAAAATAATTGGTCGTCGCTCAGTGCTGCGAATGACCAATCAGAATCAAGTATTTTAGAGAGCAGTGTGGTAGGGTGTTGGTAGATACAGAGAAAGATATGCTATTATAGATATATATTAAATAGAATAGCACCAATTAAACGTGATTTATAATATGGCTTTGTCTGCCTCTTCTTGCAGTTTTACATAACTGACACATGCACAGTTTTAGAGGGTGAGAATTTTAGGGATAGACCTACAAACTAAAAGGATTGTAGCATACAAAGATGCTGACAACAAACATGAATGTGATCACACAAATAGCTCAGAAGTAATACTTTCCATCCTCTAGTGAATTTTAATGCAAACTTCCTAAATGTTCTGTCATGTTGTTTTCAACAGCAGATCTATAGCTCCCGCTCTTGAGAGGAGCATGTCGAACTTAAATTTAGTCCAAATACGTGGAAAGCGTTATCTCTACCACCATATAACCAATGTGCATGGTGTCTTTCTGGTGAAATGCGAGCAAGCTTCAACACACAAACAAGAGAAGTGGATCAGCAATTACTTTAAAGAAAAAGGACAATGCATTCTAGAATAAAATTAATTTAAACAGATATAGTGGCAATACAGTGCACTTTCCTACACAAGCGTTCCTGACCCTGATGGTGTGGATGCAAAGGATGCTGGGATGCAAGGGATCATCTGGGACGGCGGTGAGATACAAGCTTACTCTGGCTACAGGACTGCTGGAGTGCTTGTGTTTTGCTGGAGTTGTGTTTGGTTGGGCGTCTCTTGTGTTTGTCCTAAAGACAGATGGCTACTTCAGCGATTTGTGCATCAATGCGACAGACACCAGTGGAGAACTTGGCACAGGTGAGGTCATTTACAACGGTGGCTTTTAATGTATTAGATGCTTCACTTCATTTTATGCTTTGTCTTCTTGCTTACCTTTTTTACTCTTTAGATTGCAGTCCGCAAGATGATAATTTCTCATTGGTTTTTACTGTGGCCTCCTTCATGAACAACTTTCTCACCCTGCCCAACGGATTCTTCTATGACCATTTTGGCACAATGGCAACGCGATTTTTAGCTATGTGAGTTTGTCCCTCGTAGGATGTAAAGCAGAGGTCAGGCAAGAATTAGCAGAACTGCTGTGTCTCTCCGCGGTAGAGTCAAGAAGTTTATCTGATTGTGTGTGGGGTGTGCTTAAGCAGATAGTAGAAATCAACATGGGCGTTTGACTTGACTCCAAAAACAGGGCTTTGTGCATTGCAGCCATTAAGTAAAAACAGCCCCTAAGTAAAATTTGTTGAGACTGCCAGAAATATTTGCAAATGTAAGCTGTTCTGTAACGTTAGGTACCACTTGTTTCATACAACAACAAAAAAAAAAACATTTATAAAAAGGAAAACACTGAAATACCACTATAATATTTGAACAATTAAGCATTTCCTACTTAACGTTGAATTATATTGTATTTATACCAATTGTATAATCATTGTTTTGTAGACTTCTTTATACCACCGGCACTCTTATTGTGGCATTGTCCAATAAAGGTAAAGACAGACTGAAAAGTTTTTATTAATAATCACATCACATGCATCATGGGCATTTTTGATATGACTAATTTTCCTCTCTTTTCATTGAAACAGCTCTCTCTTTCTTGCTTTTTCCTGCTCTGTCCTTCATAGCTGTGGGAGGTATTTTATTTCTAATGACAAATATGCAGGTATGTTCATGAATGATTATATTTTATGCATGCAATGCATCAAGGTTATGATCAATTGCTAGCATTACTTGTCCTCATTACAGGTGGGGAACCTTTTTGACTCTCATAGATCAACAATTATTACAGTCTATAATGGGGCCTTTGACTCTTCATCAGTTATCTTTCTTATAATCAAGGTAAGAAGTAAGCACACACACACACACACACACACGCATAAATGCATTGAATAGTCCTATATTCAAGTTTTTCCACAGTGATTAAAAAAGAGTATCAGCTGTAATCATACTGCAATCCATGATATCCTGTATAACCATTTCTGAAGGTGCTCTATGAGAGTGGGGTTTCTTTTCGCTCCTCATTTCTCTTCCTCTCAGCCTGCAATCTCATTCATCTCCTCCGGACACTTTTCCTTATGCCAAAATCACACATTCCCTATTCCATCTCAGACGACTACAAATATGGGTGAGTGAAACGATAAGCTGAGAATTAACTGAATATACAACAGTTCATAGGTTTTGGGTCAGAAATGAATTATTTTATTCAGCAAAGGTGCATTATATTGATCAAAAATAACAGTAAAGGCTTTTACGTTGTTACAAAAGATTTATCTTTTAACTAAATGCAGTTCTTTTAAACGTTCTATTCCTCAAATAATCAAAAAAAGCATCATGGTTTCCACAAAAGCATGGACAAACAGTACAACTGTTTTCAACACTGATAATAATAATAAGAAACATTTCAGCAGCAAATCAGCATATTAGAATGATTTCTGAAGGATCATGTGACACAAAGTCAGCTTTGCCATCACAGGAATAAATTACATTTTAAAATATAATCAAATGGAAAGGTTATTTAAATACAATATTTCAGAATAATATTTCACAATATTATAATTTTTACAGTAATTTGGTCAAATAAATGCAGCCTCGGGTGAGCATAAGAGACTTTTTTTCAAAATCATTAAAAAATCTTACCGAACCCCAGACGTTTGGACGATAGTGTAAAATAAATAAGTTAAATTCTAATTCAGATATTGTTTATATGACACATTTATGTTTTTTTTGCAACAAATAAGTTGAATAAATATATATTATTGTCGATAAATTAAGCATAGTGTATATATACTCTATATTTAGTATGTACCGGTAGTAAATCTGATATAGCCTTAATTACGTATAGTACATAATTCATGCTCTTATCCATATTAATTCAAATGCAAATCCTTATTTACAGGATGAGCTGTGCTAAATCACATAGCTACAACGTTGAACAGTACGAGGCAGAGCGAGACCTGAGTTCAGACAGAGGCAGAGGTGTAGATGACGAGCCACTGGAGACTGACACACTAAAGCTAACAGACAACTCTGAGACAGGTGCTGCTTTGCCAACATAGGTCTTAGTTTGGTAGAAAATGACACTGCATGATTACTGAAACCTTTCTTATCAACAAATGGCTTCTTCTTCTTCTGCTATAGACAGTTTTAGGAGCTGTGTTCTGTCCTGGTTCTTCCTGTGGCACCTCATATGGCTGTCAGTCATGCAGCTGCGGCATTATTTCTTCATTGGAACTCTGAATCCAATGCTCAATAGACTGGCCAACCAAGACCCAGACATTGGTAAACAAATTTTCTCACTACTATGATGCTTTTCAGTGAATTCTGTGAAATCTTTGTTTATGGTAGGAGCCTCTCAGTTCATAAAATGAACTGGAATTTGAATGACAGGAGGAGGAATTTACTGAATTCAAAGACATTTAACACAATCACACATCAGACTTTGAGGTAAATTAAAGAATTCTTAATTGATGTCAATTATTATATTAAATATTTATAAATTATATATTAAAAAAATATAAAATCAATTAACATTAAAATAAAAAATAAATTAAAATGTCTGTATTTCTGACATTTCAAACATTGACTATTAATATGATGATATATTTCTGGAAATATCCCATTTGTTGTGTGTAGGATCATTTTTATGGGTCATTTTTACTGAAAGAAAAATATATATTGTTAAAAACTACACATGAATTTCATTCCATTTTAATTCTACTCCCTTAGATACAATTCTGCATCCTCTTTGCTATACCAGTCAAAATTCAGGAATGGAATTGGATTTTGCCATTCTGATTGGCAACAACCCTAGGATAATTTTCAAATGCCTTACTGCGATAGTAGCAGAGGTTATAGGATTTGACTGAGACTTCTTTATCTCTTTTTCATTCTCAGTGAGTGAGTACACCAATGCTTTTGCTTTCACCCAGTTCTGTGGAGTTCTCTGTGCTCCCTGGAATGGCCTGCTAATGGACCGACACAAAAGAAAACCCCTAGATCCAGGTCAGTTGACAGGGAAATGTGAAGATCTGTCTTCTCACACCTGTACCATTTTTCTTTCTCATTCCCACCCTGGATATTTTTGTAGGTGTGTCAGAACGGGAAGCAGACCTGCGCTCGTCCGTTCTATCTCTCCTCCTCACCTCTCTGCAGTGCCTGTTGTTCTCCATCTGTGCAAGCATTCCGGTCCTCCCTCTCCAGTACGTCACATTCATCCTTCAGGTCCTTAACCGTTCTTTTCTGTACGGAGGGAATGCTGCATTCATCAGCATAGCGTAAGTAAAATGAGGGATATAATCTCGATTGTCGCTAAATTGGAATCTTTACTTAAGTGAGTGCAATGAATCTGAATTCCTACAGGTTTCCTGCCCGTCATTTTGGAAAGCTGTATGGTCTAGTGATGTCCCTATCAGCTGTGGTGTCACTGCTGCAGTATCCCTGCTTCGCCCTCAACAAAGTTCTTGGAGGAGACCCCTTCTATGTAAATCTATGTTTCCCATTCCACTGTTTCAACTACAAAGAGCTCATATACATACAGTGGCCCCAAAAGTATGTGTACACTTGTAATTGCATGAATGTCATTGAATTTTATCACAAAATCAAACCAAGTGGCATTTATTATAAATATAGCTTTTCACAAAAAGAGGTTTAAAATGATAAAACAATATACTGAGATACTGTTCAGAATGAAGACAAAAAGTATTGTTTTTGTGCAAATGTTAGTGGAATATGTCTATAGTTAATGTGAAGTTAGTTCTGAGAAAATTCTAGCATTATATCTTTGCAGAGAACTTCATTTAATATTTTGTTATCTAATGTAATAAAATTCATACATTTTAAGTGTGTCCATTTGAGGTTTGAAATACTTTTTGGGGCCGCTAGATGTTGATCCTATGGAAGCCCATTTCTGCCAAAAAATCATGCTTTGGTAAATCATAATTATAATATAAAAAGCCAAAATGATACAAAGTTATAATTATGAGATAAAAAGTCAAAACGGACATAACAAGCTGAAATGATGTGATAAACATTGTGACATAAAACAGCATTTTTTCTGACATAACTGTTATCAGAATCCTTGACATTTTTATGACGTTTTGTCTCAATTTTGACTCTTATGCCATATTTATGACTTTTATCTCATAATTTCAACGTTTATCTCATAACTTAGTATCTCACAATTTTGACTAATAATGTTATAATTATTGTTCTTATGTCTAAAACATAACATTTTGTTTTAAATACAACATGCTATGGACATAAAAAGTAATAGTTCTGATCAAAAATGATTAGATATGTGGCAGAAATGTTCTTCCATACAATACCTACAACTACAAGATTGTATGGTTAAATGCTATATACTAAAACTATATAAATACTAAAAAAGCCTATAAAAGTGAGTTTTTCACATCAAACCTAAAATCCATATGAAAGATTGCTCCATAAACATTTCCAGCAGCATTTGATTAAAGGGGCCCTTGATAATGATTTCACTTTTTAACTTTAGTTAGTGTGTAATGTTGCTGTTTGAGCATAAACAACATCTGTAAAGTTACGACGCTCAAAGTTCAATGCAAAGGGAGATATTTTATTTTACAGAATTCACTTTTTAAGGCTTACAACACACGGCTGGTAGGGACTACAAAGAGCTTCTTGCTGGGTTGGTGACATTACAAACCCTAAAATTTACATAAAGCTTTGATTATGCAACAAAGAGGGTGAGGCCATGTTGGGTTGCGAGGAAGAGTTGTTGTAGTAGAGTGTTGCTGTTATAAATTAAACAATTACTCTACAAAAATGCTACAACGCAATCATGTATTCTGCTGTACTAAAGCTTTAATAAGGATAAAACCGTATATCAAAAGATAACATAAACAGCAGTAGCATTTACAAAGAACAGCGTATCTAAAAAGTATGAGACTACAAACAAAAAACATATACCATTCTGAAACGTCCTGTAAGAGCCGTGCTTGCACAGGTTCTGCCCGATCCTCTTCAATAATATTCTCTGGGTCTGATTCGGGCTCAAATTGATAAGGTAATATATTGACTCCATTGTTTACAGTACACCAGAGCACATACAACTACCCGTTAGGGGCGTGGTGTTTCCGGACAAATATGTGAAAAATAATGCGTTTTTTTTTTTTGAACAAAGCACGAACACATGTTACAGTGGACCCAATAAACACAGTCAAGCCTTCGAAAATAGCTGATTTACCACCCCTTTAAATATTCAATTAGTTTTAATTCCGTGTGTGTAAATTGACCAGAATCATTAACTTGTTTTCCACAGCTTTTACTGTAATCAGTAAATGTTAGTGTATTTCTGTGTTTCTGTAGGTGAACATCATCTTGACTGTCCTGACTCTACTGGCCTTCATTCATCCTGTCTATGTGTTTCTTCACTGCAGAGAGCTGGCAAAACAGCGAGAGAATTCACAGAGCATTTTAGAAGCCTCCATACAGGAAACATCAATGTATTAATTTAAATCACTTTATCTATAGACATACTTGATTAATGCATATGATTATGCAAATCTATCTAGGCCTTAGCTTTTGTAACTGACAAAGGGAAAATTAATAAGCATTGTGATTATTGTGTATTCACGCAACTTAAAAAAAATGTTTGTTTTTTTTACCACCATTGTATTTTAGAGATTTAAATACTCGAAAATAAGAGTTAATAGTCAGCATTTAAATTAATTCCATTTAATTGAATTGGTTATTGAATATTTACAATCTTAATGAGTACAGAAATAACAATAAATATATTGAAGTTTTTATTTATATAGTTCACTGTTGGCAAGAATAGATATTTAGATAAAACATTTGTTTAAACATAATGATTAAGGAACAAGGGGAGATCACATGGGTGTCAGGATCTTTACAAGGGATCTCCAGACTCTTCCGGAGTTGTATAATATCCAGTTTTGCATGTTAATATCTTGTTCCCACAGGGAAAGCATTAACAGCCCTAAAAGCATCATACAGGAACTTTAGACCCATTAACCAGTGGTTTACCTTCCAAAACACACATAATACTGATTTATATCTGGCATTGCATTGTCAGTCCACAATGACCATGTACACCTCATATACAATTTTCAGTAGTTATTAATTACATTTCCATTCTGGGGTTTATAGCATGCTTTTATAAATAATGTGTGCTACAGCTATGCTTTGTACCCTTATAATTCTGAACATATGTGGAAACATGGAAAATTCCTTAATTAACTCCTTAATTTTTTAACCAAAATGCTAAAATAAATTAAATAAGAAACACACTTTTCCTCTTTGTCATAAAAACAAGCAAATATGTAAAATAAAGGTCCCTGTATGAAGAAAGAGTATGGTTTAAATGATTTCATACGGTAGTTAATTAAAGCAGACGCACAGTATTTCACTCTTCACGTTAGGAGTTGGCAAACTGATTGTTCTCTTCCTTTTTCATGAGTCCTCTAAATTAGCGAGACATCATTCGGACAAACTCTGTTGAGCGTAAGGTGAAAAATATGTTAGTTAGAGATGAACAGATAGTTTCCTTTCCAATTTATGAGCAGAAATACCCAAATACTATAGTGTGTGTGTGTGTGTATATATACATATATCAGACACTTTTATCAAAAATGAGTTACAAATGATGAATATTCATTATAAAGAGGCATATATACATGCTATATATATATAATTTATTCATTAATTCCATAAGCATCTTTTATATACACTTCCTTGCCTCTTTATTAGGTACCCCCTTTTACCATCAAAAATGCCTTAATTCTTTGTGGCATAAATTCATTAAAGAGCTGGAAACATTCCACAGGGATTTTGGTCCATATTGACATGATGGCATCATGCAGTTGTTGCAGATTTGTCAGCTGCACATGCATGATGTGAATCTCCCATTGCACCACATCCCAAAGGTGCTCTATTGGATTGATATCTGGTTATTGTGGAGGCCATTTGAGTATAGGGAACTCATTGTCATGTTCAAGAAACCAGTTTGAGATTACGGAGTTTTATAACCTGGCACGTTATACTGCTGGAAGTAGCCATCCCAAGATGGGTACACTGTGGTCATAACGGGAAGGACATGGTCAGGAACAATACTGAGGTTGGTTGTGGCAAACGTTTGCCAAGAAAATATCCCCCACACCACCAGTCTGAATCGTTGATACAAGGCAAGATGAATCCATGCTTTCATGTTGTTTATGCCAAATTCTGACCCTATCATTTGAATGTTGTAGCAGAAATCGAGACTCATCAGACCAGGCAACCTTTTTCCAGTCTACTATTGTTCAGTCTTGGTGAGCCTGTGCGAACTGTAGCATCATTTTCCTGTTCTTAGCTGACAGGAGTGATACACAGTGTGGTCTTCTGCAGCTGTAGCCCGTTTGCTTCAACGTTGAATGTGTTGTGCATTCAGAGATGCTCTTCTCCATACCTCAGTTGATGCGAATGGTTATGAGTTGCTATTGCTTTTCTATCAGCTCGAACTAGTCTGGCCATTGTCCCCTGACCTCTGGCATCAATATGGCATTTTCGCCCACAGAACTGCCACTCACTGGATATTTTCTCTATTTTGGACCATTCTTTGTAAACCCTAGAGATGGCTGTGTGTGAAAATCCCAATAGATCAGTAGATAGTTTCTGAAATACTCAGAACCAGCCCATCTGGCACCAACAACCATGCCACATTCAAAGCCACTTAAATCATCTTTCCTCCCCATTCTGATGCTCAGTTTGAACTTTAGCAGATTGTCTTGACCATGTCTACATCCCTAAATGCACTTAGTTGCTGCCATGTGATTGGCTGATTAGATATTTGTGTTAACAAGCAGATGAACAGACGTACCTAATAAATTGGCCGGTGTGTGTATATTAACATGAATAAAGGCTATACATAATGGTTTTCCCAAATGCACATGCAAAAATCAAAATTCAAGAACCCGTGGAGCAAAATTATAATTCTAACCTTCAAAGTCAACCTGGCCGTCTCCATTGAGGTCAACATCCCTGAGGATCTCATCAATCTCTCTGTGGTTGAGCTGCTCTCCCATCAGCTTCTTCATGGCTTCCCTCAGTTCAGCCAGACTGATCTCACCATCACCGTCGGAGTCAAACTGAGATTAAAAAGATCAATTAAAAAGGGTGTGACTTCAGAAAACTTGGGAATACAGTACACCTGTCAGTAGCATGGAACACCAACCTCTCTAAAAGCATCTCTCAGTTCTTTCACTCCGATCATGTCTGCTGTCTCAGCCAACATCTTTGGGCCCATCAGGTCTACAAAGTCCTCAAAGTCCACTCTACCGCCACCTAGTGAACAAACAGACAATCATGTAAGAAGTATCATGAAAACACCCTAGACGAGTGGTTCAGATATTCATGCTTTACTGAGTCTGTTCTTGAATAAAACTCTCAGTATAACTGAGATAATGACGTATAATGATAATGACATGGTTGCCACTCACAGATCTGCTGACTGAGTTCAATCAGCTCCATTTCTGTGGGCATGTAGCCCATCGTCCTCATGCACTCGCCCAGATCCTTACAGCTAATGAAGCCGTCCTTGTCTTTGTCAAATTCTCGGAAGGCTTCTTTCAACTCTGAAGGCAGAGAAAGAATGAGAGAGAGAGAGCATCTTCAGTTTGTTGACATTAATGTGCAATCTGTCTGTGCAGTAAGAGGATTCTGAAGGATAAAGGTATGGTGATCACATTTGTCGGAGGAGTAGTTCATCCAAAACTACTCACACTTATGCAATTGCAAAGCAGTAGCCAATGTTTTTTTCCTCCATAGAACACAAAAGGAAACAATGAAATTATAAAGTGAGCAGGGTCTGTCCAGCTCAAATGCTGTACAAAACTATCATATAAGTGGTCAATATGTCTTTTGAGGTCATACAATAGCACTGTATGAGGAACAGACTTGAATTCAGTTTAAATCACAGTTGTTTTGGAGACTGATATTATATATATATATATTTTAATTTGGAGAAATGTGAATGAGAGCTACGGGATATTCTTTGATTTTCTCCTTTTGTGTTGCACAGAAGAAAGAAAATGATACAGGATTGGAAAGACATGACTTTGAGTAAATTATTTTCAGCATTTGGTTGAATTGTTCCATTAAATGTGTCTTATCAAGGCATTTAGAGGAGACTGAAGGTAGATTCATATAAATTGAGAGAGGTAATGGCAAGAATCCATGTTGATGGAGGGAGTGAAGTCAATAAGGGAAGGAATCATTTCATTTTGGATGGTGGGAGAGTTTAACGCTCTTAATGATATAAAGCATATCAATGATGTTGGATATCTCTGTACCTTCAATTTCCTCTGGCCGTAGATCTCTGTCCTGCAGTGAGTACAGATTTCAAAGAGACATACAGAGACAAACTATTAGGACAAACACACAGATACGTAGACAGACACATACATACAAAACATAATAATAATTAAAATAATAATAAATAATTAATTAAAATAATGATAATATAATTATAACAACATATAAATAATACAAATAATTGAATTATTTTATTATTTTGTTCATTACAAATGATGTGGAAAAATCATAGAAAATTGGTTCGAAAGTGTGGGAACCCTGTATTATAATCTCTCCTGTAATCTGCTTTGCATTCAGACTGTGCTTGTTGAACTGTCACTCAAAGTACATTGTACCAGCAAGCCTCACGCACACCTGTCAGTGTTGCCGGGGGCAACCATCTGCACACCGCTACATGAACACGCGAGTGGTTGAATGAAACACATGAGGCTCTGATTACTGGTCAGCACAAGTAAAAACAAAAGGAGTGCCTGCACGTAAAATGTGCTTCATATCACACATAACATTAATGCATCTACTCCTTTCCAGGGAAAGATTCAACTGATACAGTATGACCACCATACCCAAAAAAGTCCACAAAATCCTGTACGTAAAAAATAAATAAATGTGTGCCTATGAAGTCCATGGTAATATTCAAGAAATAGTTCGCCAAAAAATGAAAATTTGCTGAAAATGTACTTACCCTCAGGCCAACCAAGATGTAGATGAGTTTGTTTTTCATCTGAAGAGATTTGGAGAAATGTAGCATTACATCACTTGCTCACCATTGGATCCTCTGTAGTGAATGGGTGCCGTCAGAATGAGAGTCCAAACAGTTGATAAAAACATTTCAATAATCCATGTAATCCACACAACTCAGTCCATCAATTAGTCTTGTGAAAAGCTGTGTGTTTGTAAAAAAAAAAAATTGCTTCTGAGTCCTCTGTCTACGCTTTTTCCAGTGAAAAAGTTGTTTCATCAGGGGAGAAATATAACACTGTTTACAAACTTACAACACATTAATGATGGATTTGTTTTTACAAACACACAGCTTTTCACGTCACAAGACATTAATTGATGGATGGAGTTATGTGGATTACTTGTGGACTATTGTGATGTTTTTATCAGCGGTTTAGACTCCCATTCTGATGGCACCCATTCACTGCAGAGGGTCCATTAGTGAGCAATGTAATGCTACATATCTCCAAATCTGTTATGATAAAGAAACAAACTCATCTACATCTTGGATAGTCTGATTATATTTTCAGCAAATGTTTTACATTTTTTTGGTTGAACTATTCCTTTAACGAACTTAG